CCTCTCAAATTAGAAATTGTAATTAAGAGTCCCAGAGGCTGGCTCTGTGTGTTTTATTATTTTTGTTGGTCTCCATCACAGATGGAATTTTTCACTGGTAATTCCTCAGAACTAAATCCATTCATAGGGAATTCCGAGCAGTGAAAATAAATTTCACGTCATAGAGTAGGAAATGGTAATAAAAAGGAGCCAAGGGATCTGGGAAGCAGGCCTCAGTTTTCCACTGGTGTTGGGTTTTGCACAGGCTGGCTCACAATAACCTGCACCACATAGTCCTTTGGGATCTTCAGCTCCTCCAGCTTCATCTTATCAGTGAGAGGCCTGCCGGAGAAGAACCACCGCTGGCTGCCTGGCTCCACCCCTTCTGTGGCATGTAAGCGCCTCTTCATGTGGAACACCGTGTCTGTGCTGCGCACCACAAGCTTGAGGTCTTTGCCTGTGGAGAAGCGCAGACGGAGCTGAGATTCATGTCCAGAATTGGGAGGTGGCTCAGGGATGTCCAAAGTCTCTATGTCACTCTTTTCCTCTATCATGTTGATGGGTGGCGCCAAGCAGTAGACTGGCAGCTGGTACCGGTTCCCCAGCTCATCGTAGCACTCCGTCAGTGCACCGTGTGGTAGTGTTATGTTTGCACCATCAATGATTGCCTGTGCCAGTTCATGATCATTGCTTTCAAAAGCATGTGCAGCAGCCTTCAAGGCATCCCAGATTTCTTTCCGACCTTCAAAAGCTGGTGCAGTGTCCCAAAATTCATCCCTCTTGCTGCTCAGTTGTCCATCTGTCATGGGATAATCACTTTTCCATTTTGGTTTCTCCTTTTTCAAAGGCTGGTTACGACCTAGAGCAACTGAAAAGAGAAAAGGCTAACATCAATATTCATTTAAAAAAAAATCCCTATTTTCTGTAAGAAAAGTTATGTGGTTATATTCCTGTTTTGGATTCTTTCACCACAATTACAACTAGATGTCTGCCTATTTGCAGATTTCTGTCTGAAATTCTATTAGCCAATCTAGAGTAAATGGAGATAGCAGATGCAAGATTTTATTTTCTGCATTTTTTTCTTTCTTGAGACAGGCTTCACACTGTAGCCCTGGCTTCCAACTCATAGCAATCTTCCTGCTTCTGTCTCCCAAGTGTTAGGATTACAGGCATGAGCCACCGTACCAGGCTTCATATTTTTCAGTAAGTCAATAGCTCTTTTCCATCCAGTATATTTCCAAAGATGATTAAAAATAATTCCAGGGGGCTAGGGAGGTGGTTTGTCAATAAAATGCCTGTGGTTCACACAGGAGACAGAGACAGGCAGGTTTCTGGAGCTCACGTGGTCAACTGGTCTAGACAAAGCAGTTAACTCCATATGAGAGCCCTTATCAAAAAAATCAAGTGAAGGTACCTGAGCAAGACACCAACAGTGACCTGTCTTCCCACATGCACACACGCATACACACAGACAAAGAAACTTCGGGTTGGGAACATAGCTCAGCTAGTGTGGGCAGTACTTGTTTGTAATCCCAGATCTGGGGAGACAGAGACTAGCAAATCCTTGGGGTTTACTGGCCAGCTATACTAGCCCACTTGGTGAGTTCTAAACTAATGAGAGATCTAGCCCAGAAAAACAGGATGGATGGCTCCTGAGGCTGACCTCTGGCCTCCACAAGCACACAGGAGCACACACACACACACCCCCATTAACACGCATACACAGAAGCATATTGACCCACACCCACCCACACCTACAAGCAGGACTGTAACTGCAAACTGAGAGTGGTGGCACATGCCTGTCATCTCAGCACTTGGGAGCAGACACAGGTGAATCTCTGAGACCAGCCTGGTCTACATATCAGAGTTCCAGGATAGCCAGGACTATAAAGAGAGATCATGTCTCAAAAAAAGAGGACGGCACTCTTGAGGTTGTCCTTTGGCCTCTACATGCACACAAGTGCACATGTACCTCCCCATACCAATATAAAAAAAAAAAAAAAAAAAAAAAAGTAAATGTAACAAATGCACCATTCTGGTAAGGGATGTTTATAATGGGAAACTATGAACAACCCCAGAAAAGGAATATGAATAAAAGTTCCATTCTGTTCATTAAAACATGTGCACACACATGCATATATACCAGAAGCCAACAAGTGTAGTGTTTCATCAAACTAACAAGGCAGAGGAGTGGCAGATGCTGCAGCAGAGATTCAAAGAACAGTAGATAGTGTGAAATAGTTTGAATCTCAGAACTTTTGGACATATAAAGCCAGGAAGTCAGAACTTAGCAAATCCAAAAGGCCAAAGGCTACTTTTCAGTGTCTAAGGAAGGTGAACCAGACCACCAAACCCAGGAAGAAACTGTCTAGAGGAATACTTCCTCCCGTTTCCCCTCAGAGAGCTCAGAATACCTTTCTCTGAAACTCAACCAAGAGCTAGTTTGGAAAGAAGTGGTGCAGAGAAATGAAATTCACTTTTTTTTTTTGGAGGAACCAGCAACCAAACAGGTAATACTTGGTCAATGGATAAGCTCTAAATCACAAAAAACAGAAAAGAACAGCAATGCCATATTCTTGTGCCAACCCTAAGAGAAAAAGGGCAAGAAGCCACTCTCTTTGGCATACTTAGAGAATGCTACACAGCAACAGAGTTAGAACAAGTCTCAGGCAGCCTCTTTACCAGACACTTCCACAGCCTACATGATCATGAATCTATTTTCTATGGGTCATACTGACCTACACTGCCTTCTTACCTATGGGTCTGTCTTTAGGTTATATAGTGCCAGGCATAAGAAAGCTTAATAGACAAAAGTAAATGGGAAATTAAATCATGATGAAAAGATAAAGAATGTTAGGAAAGAGTAGGTGGGTAAAAAATGACAGTGCTGGTGGGAAGCAGAGAAGGCATGCATCAAAATTCACTGTTCCATAATTAATTGCAGGAAGAATATCATTTAAAAGAATCTAAAATGGTTCTAAAGCACGCATAAAGTTAATGACCCCCTTACTGGTCTGGGCTATGCATAATACAAAATAAAATGACTCTTACTCCCTGGGAAATCTCTCTCTTTCCCAAGCTACATTCCTATATGACAGGGCTAACTAATATGGTAAAGTACATTTGGTTTGACATCTGAATTAAAATAAATTATTTTTACTAGGTCTGGCCATTGATCTCAAGGCCAAACATCCCAGGTCTCTTTAGTCTTTCACATAAAACTTTCAGTATTGACACGTGACCATGTTCTGGCCCCCTAACTTGTCTAAGTGAAATTCAAAGCAGGCAAGTTCTAAAAGGACGGGTATAACAGAGCAGAGAACACATCCATTTAGTAGCATAGCTGGAAACAGAACTCAAATCTCCTTATGTAATCAACAAATAGGCACTGCCTTCTCAGAGTAACACTATAGCTGTGTTTATGAGGTTTGATTCAAAAGTGAACAATTCAATCCGTAGTAATGGCTTTCCGCTACATATGCCAAGTAATACCGACAAGGAAAGCTAAAGCACCAATCTTAAAAGGTGCCTGAAATATGCCCAATAATCAAGACTGACCCACTAGTTCCACCAAGGTAAAATGCAAAGGTAGTTTCAGCTATGTTATCCTCTATATGAATAGAAAATTTATGCTCAACACTCAGTCATTGAGCAGGAAGTGAAAAGCAGGGCATGGTAACAAGGAAGTAGATTCTGTGCCATCTACTTGAATAATGCATCAGGTTGACTCGAGCAGTTCTAGACTCTCATATATTTTAAATATTCTAAACATGTAACTTGGTGTAGTTTCTTGTCATTGTGAAATAATCAACAAAACTTCTACACTCTCACTATCTAATATGAACAACTCAAAAAGGACCTCAAACTGGGTATGGTGGTACTCACATACAATTCCAGTTACCCAGGAGGCTGAGTCAGGAGGATGGCAAATTTGAGTGTAGACCCATTTCAGAAAGGAAGCTCTAGCCAGGCATGGGGCATGGTGACGCACACCTTTAATCCAGCACTTGGGAGGGAGAGGCAGGTGAGGCCACCCTAGTCTACAGAGCAAGTTCTAGAACAGTCAGGGTGATTCTGAGAACCCCTGTCTCAAAAAATCAAAACAAGCTGGGCAGTAGTGGTGCACCTCTTTAATCCTGACACTTGGGAGGCAGAGGCAGGCAGATCTCTGTGAATTTGAGGCCAGCCTGGTCTATAGAGTGAGTTCCAGGACAGCTAGGACTGTTACACAGAGAAACCCTGTCTGGGGGGGGGGGGATATCAAAACAAAACAAAAAAAAGCTTTCAAATACAGAAAACTAATAGAAAAATTAAAAACCTTTATGTATGTGAATTACTTTCCTTACCTATGTGAGGTAGCTTTATTTCTGCTGCTCATATTTGCACTAAGTACAAACACACACACAAACAAACACACACACACACACACACACACACACACACACACACACGGCACATTTATGTTGGTAACCATCATTCTGCAAGTGTTTAAACCACATCATGTCAAAAGTTCCATGATAATTCTTCTGCAGAAATAAAAGTATTCACCCTGAAGACATGAACTAGGCTCATCTTATTTCTGTCTAGGTCTCTGAACCTTTAACATACATATAGTATGTATCATCTGAGTGTAGAACACCCATTATTAAAATGACCAAATCTCAGTGGCAAACATTACTATTTGGAAAGTCATAGTTGTTTGGGGGGGATGGGGGGTGGGGGGGTTCAAGACAGGGTTTCTCTGTGTAGCCTTAGCTGTTCTAGAACTCGCTCTATAGACCAGGTTGGCTTTGAACTCACAGAGATCTGGCTGCCTCTGCCTCCTGAGTGCTGGGATTAAAGGCGGATTAAGGGTGTACACTGTCACCACACAGCAGAAAGTCATAGATTAAAAAAAATATATTTTTACATATGTAAGTATTTTGCCTGCATGCATGCATATCACATGTGAGCAGTGCCCACAGAGGCTAGAACAGTGTTGGAGCCCCTGAAACTGAAGTTATAGACAGTTGTGAGCTTCCATGCAGGTGCTGGGATTGAACACAGGTACTCTGGCTGAAGAGCCAGTGCTCTTAACCATAGAGCCAACTCTCCAGCCCCAGTATAGAATTTTTACTGCACTATCTGATCTTAAAAGTTTCATGCTGGGTTCAACAGAGTAACAAAACAAGTTAAAAAAAAAAAGTTTCATGATAGCCTAAATCAGAGTTACTGCCCAACGTATGTCAGCAAATTAATTCAAGCCATCATCTCATTAAAACATGAAAATGGCTTGGGCAGATAGGGACAGACCTGGGTCCTCTGCAAGAGCAGCAAGTGTTCTTAACTGCTGCACTATTTCTCCAACTCTTCCCGTGTACACATTAAATACTGTTTTCTCTGTAACAGATTTAATACTGAAAAGCTAAAGGCTTGCTTTTCAGATGGAACTAAGTAGAATATGACTTTAAATACATTTACTATACAACTAAAAGCATTTTACCAGGAATTCATTTAGACATTCTGTTTATAAGAGAATAATCTTTGGGAAGAGAGCTCAGTTAGTAAGTACTTGCTATGCAAACATGAAGACCTGAGTCTGACGGAGAACCCACATAAAAAGCTGTGAGTGACATAACATCTTTAAGTCCTGGAGAGGTAGAGACAGACAGGGACGCACCTGCCAGTCAAGCTAACCTAACTGGCAAGCCCAGGCCTGAGAAAAGACATCTGAGGGTGGCTTCCATATATACCTACTCTCCTTCCTACCTACCTACACACAAACACACACACAGAGTCAGAGCCAGAGATTTTTCAAAAAGGACTCATGATTGTAATTCTTTTCTTCCTTTTGGTCCTTCTTTGAAAATCCTTGACTTGCTGGGCAGT